TATATCGCAAGTGAATTGCTTACGCGCTACGCGCAAACGAAATCATACCTCGGCCAACTTCGATGTATCGAATATAGGTTTTCACGTTAAATATCGAGTGCACTGCATATATGATGCTTCGGCAACTCACGAATCGCCAAAGCAAGTGAAATGCTGAATCCACGAGTATGCCGACAAGTCCGCTGCTTCATTGAGAATTCTAAATTCCAAGTGAAAATGTGTTCTCCATCCTTTTTTTTTGTTCTTCCGTTTCGTTCATAGCAGACGTGAATGGGAGCCAGGTATACGTGTTCGACGTAAACTAACCCACAAAGAGACATCCGATATTCACAATTCGTCTTCGTTAACGCGAAGCCGAAGTAATTCACATAGTGGTAAAAAGGAACCAAAGAGTGGCGAAGGTAACAATGCTAGTGTTATACAAGATTCGGGATTTTCCACCGAAACCAGTTCATCGAAGGAGACGCATAGTGCGACATCGACAAATGGTGCGGGCGCAACGACTGCCATCGGCGGCAGTAATTCGGCGTCCGGTTTCCAGCGTGTATCATCGCACGAGGCCGAAGACGAACTATGGAATTTATTAGATGTGATACACAGAAAAAGTACGCGGCTACGAGACGAAATGGAGCATTTGCGGTTAATGGAAGGTGACGACAAAAGTCCACTTTCACATCATCACCATCATCACCATGATCAATATATGGCCGGTGCGCATGAATCGAGCAATCGACACCTGTCGGACATGTTTCAATTGGAACTGAATCGAATCAATGGTGAGGATATGGCAACGTTGCGAAAGGATCGCGATCGTTTGCTTGACAAATTGGCCGAAATGGAAGCGGAGGTAGTGGCCGGCCGGATACGAACAAATCAAATGGAAGATGATGTGAATGCATTAAACTTAGTCAAACTTGATCTGGAGGAACAATTACGAACTGCACTTAGTCAAAAACTAGAGCTAACTACCCGATTGCATGATCTGCTATCCGATCGAAATGACATTCCAGCGAGGTAAGCATTGGTCATTTTGAAACACAATTTTCGACGAAAATCTCCCATCATAGCCAAGTATTCACTATGCATTTGTCTTCTTTTTTTTTGTCATTCATATCGATACGAAATAAACAGCAGTTATGCGGATTTGCCGAAGGCTCGCCAACGCTCATCGATGGCTGTACGGAAACTTTCGTCGCCGGATACATCAACGTATCATCATTCGAATGTGTTGGGAAATAAGATTAGTAGCAATAGTAGTGCCGTTACAAATAATACATTTTCAGCAGTCATTGTTAAGTCATCCGCATCATCGCAATTACCAAATTCAAAACAAGACAGTGATACGAACACCCAACTGTTGTTTGGCGATACAATCGCGCAGCCGCCAAACAATAGCAACAACAAACAACAAGAATACACATTGGGCCGTTTGGATGGTTTGGTCAGTTCGCCCAATCGATGTAGTAAAGTGCGTGTGGCCGATTCCAGGAAGATAGCTGCCATATTATTAGAAACAAATATTGTCGAATTGCAACGACATTTATTGACAATTACAGTTCAAAATCAGGTCAGTATATAGCCACAAAGCATTACAAGCAAAAAATAAAAAGAGAAATACAATTAATAATGGTAAAAAGCGAAAGAAAAACGGCCGCTCTTATAATGATTCGTCGTTAGTGTATATAATAATTTATTAATGAAGTAATTGAATTTCAAAATGCAAGAACGGAAGTTGGCTCATACCGAAATGTACGCACTTTTTTTCGCCAAGGACGGGCTCGATTCATTTAACACGACAACCGACATTTTCGTGGCAAGAAATTATTAATTTTTTTGTGATACATTTTTTTTTCGCTTGTAATTGCGAACAACGTCGTTCAATTTGCTTTTCTTGTGCATTTTTATCGCAATTTCAGCAACGATAATATTCCACGCGAATTTGATTCGATACCTTTTGAGCGTGTGTGCGCTCGTTCGTTTCAAAACCATTCCGAATTGGAATTTAAACGATATATTTTGACATCGGTAACAATTTTATTCGCGTATTGTGCTCTCATCGATAGGCACATCAGTCGCCATCCGAATAATGTGTGCAACTTGTTTCGTTTGGCTGTTTTTTCGACTGTGTGTGTCTGTATATTCATTCGCTCTAAATTAATTGCTTCTAATTTAGTTTAATTGAACATCAATTTTTGTTGTGAACTTAATGCGAATGATGGGAACTGAATGCATTTCAGGTCTTCTTTTTTCGAGTGTATTACGATGAATGGAATGGTGCTTCATTACAATCGGCTCCATTTTATAGCGCAGCCTATTCAATTTATATAAAAAAAAATGTTGTGTTCGTTCATATCACACATATGTGTTCTTCATTTCTCATTTTTTTCGAAGCCCTTTTTGTTTGTGCGCGCCATTTCAATTATGATAAACATTGCAGAGTCAGAATTATGAGTTCGAATGCACCCAGTGCACCAAATGATTATGATGATGATGTTGTTGATGTGTGTGGCTGCCGCGCTCGCACTACACAGAGATGTTATTACACTTTATCAGACGGTTAATGGTCTTGAATTTAGAATTAATTGAATTGGATTTTATCTCTGTGAAATGTTGAGAATAACCAAACCATATGTAGTTTAACGCGCGTTGCCAACGCACCACACTTGAGTATTTGTGTAGTAGTCAATTAAATTCGATGTCTTCGCATCCACTTCACACAAGCACACTTTAAGAAATAAGAAGAAGAAAACAACAACACTTTACTTTCGTTTTCGTTTCACACGTTATATTTCACTCAATTTACTCGCGGTCAATAAACTGATAGCATAACGCGTGCACACACAGCTAATGTTTGTATAGATTTTATTGTATAAAAACAAGAAAAAAAATATTTTATTGAATTAAACAATCCAATGTTTATACCCCATTATAAACAAGACCGAAAATTATCATTCAATTGAGAGTTCTGGTTATTCAATTATACGAAAGTCGACATTCTCTCACTTTTTTTTCTGTCTTGTCGAAGTAAAGGGTACACACATAAACATGCCGAAAGAAATGCTTCCTTTTTTGGAATTGGAACTGTCAACTCGAAGCCAACTCTTGATTCAAACGAAAAAAAAGAGACATTATGAGTACTATAATTTTGTAAGTACTTAATCATATATGTTGGGTCTCCCGAGTATAATGACTAAAAAGTAATTTTGTGTGTAATGTTAGAATTTCATTTCAATGACGACATTCAAAACCATTGAAAATCAACCAGTTGAGAGTGTGCTGCAAAAACGGAAAATGAATGCAAAAACAAAACTATATACAAACTCTGTGTCTCTGGTTGTTGTCATTTTGTATGTTGTTTTGTGATTTGCGGCTCTATGCTCGGTATTTGTGTGCAAAAGAATGCATTGTAAATGTGTAATGGCACTTAATGCATTCATTACGTTCACTCTGTGAATGCGATTGAATGCTAAACTTTCTCAAGTGATGCAACTCTATCGAACAAACAAAATAAAATCATAACAAATATGCCTTTTGTCTCATATATTTGAGGCACACATACACACACGCAATTTTTTTGTTGTTGTGAAAATGGACTATGTCATTGTTCGACACTATATACAGCTCGTAGCCAATTTCCAGTGAATTAAGATCCGAACAAAATTAATTTTTATGCGTTGTTTTGCATCGGTTTAGCTAGAAACGTAGTTTGCTGTCACCCGTTTGACTGTGGACAGTGTTTGCGGTCGTTGGAATTTCCAACTTGGAAATGGTGACTCTTCACATTGCTTCTCCCTTTCTGTATTTTGCTTCACTCAAATCAATTTCCTCTGCATCAACTATCTAACCTGTCATATTTAGTTCCGGTTGATGGAAAATAGATCTGCGTTTACTTTGCTCTTTGTTTGACTCTCATAGTTGAATCATTTTTCACGTGAAATTCAACACACAACCATTTTGTCTCGCTACACATTTCAAATTCGTCGAAAGACGATAATTTCGGTTCGGGACGTGCTCACATACATGAATCTAAACAAAACACCGAATGAAATGACGAGAGCAAGTAAAATTGAAATATTTTCGCTTTCGTTGCATTGCAAATGCGAACAATATTGTTGTTGTTGTACGATGGAGGGCTTTTCAAATGAGTTTTAGGCGAAAAACGTACCGCTTCTCGCATTCGTGCTGAAATTCCCTCGCTCATTTTTTACGCCTAATTAGAGAAACATTTGAAAGCATTACCAAAAACCATTACATGTTATGGTCCCGTATGTGTGTGAGCCGTCGTTGCCGTCGCGGCTGCTACTACTGCTGCTGCTGCCGTTGCCGTCGTCGTCATAGTCGCCGTCGCCGATGGTGATGTAAAAGAGTGAGAGCATATATCGCGCGCACATGCTGCTTCATTGTGAATATAATGCATTTTTTATGGGCTAACTTCCACTAACTCGTAAATTTAATTCATTTTATTTACTACGCACATGGTTGAACTCTATGAGCGCACAAAAGCATATTTTTGATTTCATAGCTCTCTTCAACATTTTCCGTGTACAATGGGCTATGGTCTGTCTCTGATTGTCTATCGAATGGCGTATATCATTACGAAAGAGCCGTTGCACGTACACAAAAAGGATTGGAATTCAATTTTTCTTGTATGTTTGTGCCATTATGAAACAAGTAGCTCATAATTTGACGCTTTATCATGCTGAATTAAATTATCTTTAGGCAAAAAAATCACTCATCCATTTTGACCAAAGATCCGTGCGTGTGTGTGGTTTTGCTTTCCTTCTCCTGATTAAACTCGTTTTTGTTCACTGATTTTGACCGTTTATTCTTTTGTTTCTTTCCAAACACTTTCACACAGGCTCTTACACAGAGATTAGAACAAGCAACTAAGTCGAAAATATACCTAATCAAAAAGTTAGATAAGGCGAAAGAGGAAATTGATGACCTAAAATTTCAGGTGAGTTGTTTGCTAATACATTTGTTTTGGGCGGGTATTAACGCCCAAAGCAACAGAAACAAAATAACCAAAAATCAAATCGAAAAAAAAACTAATGAATTTCCGGCCATGTTATTGTCTATGTATGTTTTGCAGTTGGAAGAGCGGAATATTGAATTAGAGGGTACGAAAGCACAACTCCGGGTACTGGCATCGAAATCAACAAAATCGGAGTACGGTCAAGAGGCGACATTTGGTTCGCCCGTGATTATGAGTCAGGTGTCAACGCCTAGCATGAAGGCAATGACACCGTTGGCCTTAGACGAACTACAAAACAATAGCAGCAGCACGGAGTCGGCGCATGATAATGCGGAACGAGACAGTAGTGTACGCGGTACACCATCAAAGTATCGTCCATCAAAAATCCCATTGCCGGGTTCAAAAAGTTATTTAGCACCAAAACCACCGACTGGTCGCAATTTTGTTAATTCACGCAGTCCATCCGGGCCGCCGTCAAATAAGAGTCTCAACAAAAGCACCAGCAGTCTAAACAGTCGCTATGATATGTCAACAACATCCATGCAAAAGTCCAGCCCGAGTGCGTCAACATCACCGAATCTATATCGGCCCGAGTCGGCACAAAGCCTACGCAAGGATATGTCATTGAACAATACGAATCGGAATAGTTCATCGATACCGGTTTCAACGCCAAAAGCGTCACCAACACGATCAAGTCCAGCCAAAAATTCGCCCGTACCAAAAACCAAACGCGAATCACTCACCTCCAAAGTACGACACATGGATTCATTGTCTCGTATGCACGCCTCACCATCACATTCAACCACATCGGTCACCCCAACGATGCCACAATCGCCAATTCATACCACCAATACCGCCACCATCGTCGGCACTCCCACTCATCATCACAATAACAGTAGCAATAGTTCCATATACAAATCCAATTCGAAAAAAGATCTGAGCTCGAGCTTCTCCATTGGACAATCACGTGATAGAAAGCAACAAAATTCCACCAACAATTCACCCGTACGACGTGTCAGTAGCAATAGTTTTGGTAGCAAAGGCATCGATTTATCGAATACCGCCGAACCCGTCGAAAAGGTACAAACAAACTTACGAAGAATTTGGAATATGCTTAAAATTTAATTCGAACAGACATCTTCAATCCGACTAAGAACACATTGCAACAAAAAACAAAGAATTGATTAAGAGTTTAACCGGTTTGCGGGTGAAGAAAAAACAAAACAAACAAACAAATCTATAATATTAACGAATCTGTGTTTGGCAATGACTTGCCACACCCGATCATTTGTGATTTACGTCCAAAAACATCAACTACTGAGAAACAATTGTAATGCGCCACGTGCAGCTTTAAGGCTTTTTTCTGTTATGCCAGCTATTTTTGTCTTTTTTTTCTCTTTCGCTTGTGATAATTGTGGGACATCAAAATTGAGCTAGCACAGTGCCCTTTACATAACCACACATATACTTGACGTACTGCACATTTTCAGCCATCCGCTTGCAAAATAAACGCAAATTTTTTTTTCGGATGATTTTCGTTTAAACCTTTTAATGGTTTTGGTTCAGAAGTTAATTGTAACATTTCCAAAAATCCAGTCATTCCTCTGCAGCGAAAAACCAAATTCTACACCTGGAATTTGTTGTATTTTGTAACTTGATGAACAAATTTTTATGGTTTGGTCCAGCGATCAAACGAAAAGCATAAAATTATGATCAAAATGTGCGCGCGGGAAAAAACGATTATTTTTTTTCGCTTTTTTTGCTGCATAAAATCACACATATCGGAGAAGGAAATAAAAAAACCAAACGAAATAAACACAAAATTGTGAAATTACGAAGTAAAGAGGAAACAATTAGCTGGCATTATGCACGTGTAGAAGCATATTTATATTATTCCGTTACACTATGACAATTTGTTTGATGGAATTGAAATAGACAAGAAAAAAAATTGTATTTTCATATAAAAAGAACGTAATAAATATAAAAAAATGATAATTTAAAAAAAAGGAGTCTTCTAAAAATGAGGAGAAAAAAACGTAACTAGACTTATCACATATGTTTGTTCACACAACGCGATATTGTTTCAAACGAGTAACGAAGATAAAATAACGTAGCTGGTCTCAAAAACAAAAGAAAATGAAGATGAACGTATTATGGATTTATTGCCAATGACATTTCGAAGTCCAATTTATTTAAATTTTAATGAAAAAAAAAGAATCGCGATCGAATGACAGAATTGTTTATTTTTCTATTTAAAATCACGCGCGATGTTAAAAGTGAAAAAAATGGTATAGAAAGAATTTTGCAATATCACAACATGTGACTGGATTCTAGGCGATTCGATTTATTTGTAAATATATTCAGCAACAACATCAACAAGAAACAACAGCAGAAAGTTTAATGAAATCAAGAATTCCATTAGAATGTTTACTCAAATTTAAAATTAGTTTACACATAAACAACAACAACAACAACAAAATTCAATCTTCTTGTTTGAAAATGCTTAGAATAATTTTAATTCTTTATGTGTGCGACTGTTAATCACCTTCTTTTTATTATTTTTTTTTCTCTGTTTAAACAAAAAGAAAAACCTTTATGTTGTGATTAATGTAACAATATAAAAAAATAGTATTAAAATTTTAATTTTCATGTTTTTTATTTATTGGAACCGATTGGAAGGCGAATTTTTGCATGAATCATCTCTCTTTCTCTCTCTCAGCTCATAATTTTTTTCATTTTTGTTTGAAATTGTTTTTTTTTCTGTCTGTTTATCTGTCATTGGTTATGCCGTTTTTATTTTGTTTTTTTTTCTGTTCCATTTTTTGTGTCTTTTCTTTCGATGTGACTAACAAATGTGTTGCGAAATTGAGGAGTTTCGCGGTATTTGGCCGAAGAGTTTTTTCAGTTTCGTATAGGAAAAATGGTTTGTGCGCAAGAAGAGAAGTTAAGCCATTGGCAGATCGATGCAGAATCGGCTGATGATTTGCAGAAAAACCACCAAGCTCACTAACACCTGATCCTGATAATAAAATGCGTAACCGCTGCCAACTAACTCCATTACACACCCGCTGTCGCAGTGTGGACATACTCAGTATGTGTGTGTGTTTGTGTGTTTCGTCAAAATCCGCGCTTTGTGCTTATACATCCAATACTCAAATGGCAATTCATATCACAAAAACACTGAAGCTGATGCACAGACACAACATCCAACAGGTCATTGACTCCCAGATCTCTTGAACATTTTTTTTCGAAGTGGAAAATGTGCGGGCCAGAGCTGCTAACGCACGAACCTGAACCATATACACACACGCATTACACACAACACTAAAACCAAAAACACACGAAAATTTGCACGCGATTTCAGGCGCAATTACCTTGTCTCCTCATTTATTTTCGTAAGTTCCACATTTTGATTTGATTTCAGTTTTTAAGTTCGTTGATTATTTTTGTTTTTTGTTTTAGATTTTATTTTTTTGCTTTTATCAACATCCGATCAATGCTATGAACTTGTAGGCAGTATTTTAGTATTTTGAAGAAGAAAAATCTTTTGAATTTTCCAAAAAAAAAAAGATTTTGAATTTTGGGAATAAAAAACTGAATGTATTCCAAGTAGTGCAACTGTAAATTAATACCGAATTGGTTTTACAATGAAGAAAATGTATGTTTTTTCCTTGAAATAAATTTATTGAAATTGATTTATAAATTTTAATCGTAAAATACAATTTTGGGCTTCAAAAACTCACTTAATTTATTCCTCAAAAATTTTCTCAGTCGATAACAGCAACCGAAAAAAAACAACTTTTAAATATTGAACTAATTAAAAATGAAAATGACCTTCACTAACAAATCCATAACAACAAAACAACACGTGCACGTCTCTCAAATCGCTTTGATTAACATTGAAAATATTTTCATATTCCTTCATGAAACAGTCACAACCATTAATTAACCCAAATGAAATTAAATGTTAAAACTGTTGTACCTCAAATTAAAATTACTATTCTTCCTCATCATCCAACATGTTTCCGGCTCAAGTTTTATGCTCATTTATTTTTTGTGTTTCGTTGACAGGTCGATGATATAAATGGCCAATCGGTCGATGAATCACCAAACAATCCGGACCTAATCCGAGAGTATTTAATGCGAACCAGAGAACCTCCAGCAATATTTCAACCATCCGCTATGATGACGTACAATCCATTGAAAGCGTTGCAGCAGAAATTTGTGAATATGGCCTATAAGCATCCACAATTATTGATCGGCGAGAAAGACGAGTGTGAAAAAGTCGATTCAGAGACCGATGAACACGAGATTGTAGACAATTACAACAACGATCAAAACAAATGCCCACCATTCAAATTGAGTCTGTTCAATGGCAATGGTCACAGCGAAAATTCAACGGCAGCGGCAACAGCAGCCTCAAACTCCAATGCAGACTGTCGACTCATTGGCAATGTCAAACCAAATCTAATCAAAACATGGGAACAACTGAACAGTGCAATGACCTCGCAATCGGATGTAATAAGTGGATATGCAAAGGAGAGAAACAACAGAGCGAATGCCGCACGACACGAACACATGAATCCGATGATTTATTTGAGCAACAATCATATCTTATTCGATCAGAAAATGCCTACCACATCGAAGCAAAACGAAAGTTTTGTCATCAAACGACCTGCATCACAGTCCGGCCATTTCTACGATAGTATAGATAACGAATCGGTTGTGACACAAGACGATGACGATCAAATGATTGCATCATTGTGCGATGAAATGGAGCATGGTGGCGAAGCCATGGCCGAATACATTTCATTGATTGAGAAAAAGGAAAAACTATGCTGGTCCATCGACAGTTGTAACTGAAACATACAACTGCGGCCAGGCCTTCTTCAAACGAACGATTCTGAAATCGAATTGATTTTACATGAACTGTAACGCACACATACGACACTTTTACACGGCTGTTTTTTTAAGAGAAAAAAAGTAAATTTAGTAACATAAATGATATTAGTTGTTTGGTTGGGATGACACAGCTCGTTTTGTTCGATTTCGTTTGTAAGATAAAATGATAATTCAATTTAATTGTCTGATAAATGATTAAGATGTTTAATTGATTCGACTGACTGGAGACAGGTTTGCAGCCTGAGAAAGACACACGAATAATGCACTGGTTAAGACAGACAACCACCCAAATTGTTCTATAGATTTTTGGTGCACCACGGAATCGTTTGTCAATCATATGTTTTGTATATAGTTATGACATTCCAAAATTAATCGAGCAAAAAAAAAACAGCCTACAGTTTTCGATTGCTGACAAGTCAAGCAATTGTAGCACTATCCGATATTATCTATTTTGAGAAGCAGTTATTTTCAGTATATTTTAATTATCATTTCAATTATTTATTGTTTATTTATCCATTGGTTTCAAACCAAACCCATTTATTGTTTTAAAAAACACAAGCATTTACGAATGGTCTTAATCTATCTGAAATGTATTGGGTCAAAAGGATTTCTGTGCCAATTAAAAATGGGCATCAGGTCATTCACGCTTTGCTGTTGCAATAAAAGTCTAAACAAGGAAGATTGGTTAAAAGCAATGTCTGAATGTGAAAAGAAAAAATTCTTCTCAGCAAATAGCATGAGAAAAAATATTCAAGATTGATTTCTTCAAATTTAAACAATTTGAATCACATTCACATATTTGTCGAAATTTCTCTTGAAAATTCTGCAGAGTCAAAGTGTGCTGAAATCAATTGGTTCTTTTTTGATGACGTCGATTCCTATTATTGGAAACAGATGATTGAATTTTAGAACAAAATCTCGAAATGCAGAATTAGAACTTGTGAGATCAAACATCTGTTAAATGGAATAATTTTTACAGAAAAATCAGTAAAGTAAACACATTTTTAGTTCAAATATCCAAATTCAAAGTGCTTATTTATTAAATCCAGAGAGAAATAAAACGAATTAAGAAAGAAATTACAATTTCGATGAGTTGTTTTGATTTGATGATTTTACTTTTCAGGACGTTAAAAGGTGAATTTCCTTTTCCTTGGCACAGTTTTTAATCTGGAAATGAAGATGATGAAAGTATTTTTCAGCAAGAATTCGTGATGTGACGTGAATTTTGCCTTCAAATTCTGAAGTCACTGGGGAACGTAGGGCAGAATATCTTATCGAGAATGTATGTGTAGATAGTCAATTTTAATCGTTCTATCATCCATTGCTAGCAAGCCTCTCTTTGCAGTTGTCGATCATGATTTGATTTCGATCACAAATAAATGTTTTAGTTTTCTATTGTCGATTTTATGATTTCGGTTTGTTGTCTTTGGGATTTACAATGTTGTTTTATTCCACAGCAGCTGAACTAGTTTTGTTCTTCCTCTGTCTGATTATTCTGATTGGTTATTGATGCGTTCAATCTCGGAGAGTTACGAGTACCATTACGTGCTGCTTCAATCGAGTATTCCAAAAACTTGGTCACAATTGTTTCGATTTTGGTGTAATTAATGGAGTCAATAGCGTGCTTAATTCTATTATCAAGTGATTTAAAAGCTTCATCAATTGCGTTATTAAGTGATTCAAAAGCTTTATAAATTAATAATACCAAGAAAAATGTAATAACGACACATTTTATCGAAAATATGAGGAGTTCTTTCCCTTCACGTTTCCAAAAATTCCGTTCGAACAGCTGGTTGTCGTCCATTTGATTACGAGACATTTTTTATTGTTGTTCCAGTTCGATCAGTTCCCTACACCCCTTAAAATTTTTGTTTTTCAAATCTTTTTTCGTGATCATTATTTCTGAGAAAAACAAGTACAAATCTAAACAAACCAAATAAAACAGAACAGAAAAAATTATCTAATCGAATCGAATTATTATTATGTTCAGGAATGTATTTGATGGATGCACCACATGTGAATAATATCTCAATCGAAACGAGTCTTAAATTAACAACACAAAGTCACTTCTTCAGTGGAAAATTATTACTTTGATTTTGTTTTATGGTGTTTTTTCTTCTTCTTCACGTTGTACACTGTGTATATGCGTTTGTGTTCGACAAATGATCTTTTCTCTCCGTTGGAACAATAAGTTGGAATAGTTTTCGTCTCTTAACTTGTTGTCGATTCTCTTTTCTTTTTCAACACCGTATTTCTGTTTCATTCAAACGTTTTTTTTTCTTTTTTTCTTCCTGTCGTTTTTGTTTTGTTTTCTTTTATTTCCTCGTCAGCTTACAGTTCTTACTCTTCTCTCTCGCTTTTTATCCGTTTTCGCGTTGATCATTGTTCCATGCAACTGGTATGATTTTTAGCCAAGACGCGCTACACTAAAAACACACTATAGAACATCGAGTGATATATTTACAGCAGAAAACACATCGATTGCAATGGATATTTTCGATGGGACAAAGGATTTTCTTCTTACTCGTCGTATTTGCTCCGGATGTTTTGCTTCTCTCATTTCATTTCATTTCATTTTATTCAATCGATTTATATGTACAATGTAGACTAGGTGATTTGTGCTCCTATGCAGTTCCTATAATATACAATTTCGGAACCAAGTAGTAGAGATAGTTTAAAGTAAAAGAATAGTTTAGGTTATTTTTTTAAATTTATAAACTCGCAAAAAACTCGTTAAAAATTCAGTGGTTGCCCATCAGATAAAATTTTTTCTTTCAATCTATTTTTAAAAATGTTTATCGACGATTGGCTTCGCAGCTCACTTGGTAACATGTTAAACTCAACTGCAATAAGGCGAGAGACTAGGTATTTACCAGCGTTTGTTCTATAAATTTCGTGATGAAGCTGATTTGTATTTCGAGTTCGGTAGTTGTGCCTACTGCCCGTTTGTATTGTATTAATTGTGGTTTTGATTATTTTTTTATTGATTTTGTAAGCGACTTTTGTACTACAACTTTTCCGAAGACAACTAGTTGTTATCTCTTATCAATTATGCGGAAACCGTGAAAAACCGGGACGACCCGCCAAAAATGAACATACATTCTTTCAACCATTGTTAGTTGCAGTAAAATATACTTCTCTTTATTGCTACACCGTTTGACAAACTTGTGTTCTTCTAGGTCTCACCAATTTATATCTACTATCGACCCACTTTGTTTTTAAGGCATTTAAATGCATGCAAGCATTAATTACTTGACCATAGTTCGCTATTATTTATTGATATTATGAATAGCATTATTGAGCATTATTGAGAATTCCGAAGGATTATTTGGGATTATTTTTTTACTAGATTGCATTATTTGAATTAAACAAATCTAGTATTTTCCCCCTTGTCACCAAGTCATTCAGCCTTGCTTCATTCATTGAGTTTCGTAAATAGCTTTTGTTTATTTTCAGTTTTGAAAATGTACGTTCTCCATTCGCCACTGATACTGGCATCGTCCGCATAATTCGGAATGCAATTACAACATTTGGAAGCATATACTCCATATTTTGTTTCTGAATTACGTTTAGAATATCTATTGCATGATCAATCTTCTTGTTCATTACCGTTGAAACGACTGCGAGCTCAGCAAAAAGATCATCGCCATCGATGTCGGATTTGCCGTTGTGTGAGAGAGTGCTCTCAAGTTTCTTGCATGCCTTTAATAGAGCTCAGTTCCTTCTTTTCGTTTTATAATAATTCTCGTAATCGTATAAAAATGAGAACAGTGCCGGTATTCTAAGTCATTCCACCAAAATCGTTCGGAACTATTTTTTTCGTACGTAAGACCATATTGGAGAGAGATTCCACTATTTTTCAGCGTCCCACCGGAATTATTTCGAAAACTCAAGAAAGATTGCATTGTGTTCCAGAATACCGGCACAGGTCACTGTAAGTATTAAGCGCTGTGAATCTATCATCAATTAAAAGAATTGCACCTTGAATGATTGGCAAAAATACTTTTGTCTGGAAATCTTCTTCAGAAATAATATTTGCCCTGGTCGTTCTTCTCGTGTCGTCAAATTTCGATTCGATTTCAATGCGCTCACAAATATTTGATTCGTCCCGAAGCACTTTCTCGCAACCATATTCGCTGTAAGTCAGCAAAAAATGTTTCACGCTTTCGATACATGTTACAGCCGTTTGCAAATTTGACTGAATCGTTTGCAATGCTTTTGATGCTATATTGGTTTGACTGAGTATGTCATACCAAACACAAACACAACACATGAATGTATAATTGATCTTGTTAGCAATTGATCTAGCTTCCAATTGAACATCAGAATTGAAACTGTCGCTGTTTTCGATTTCTCTCAATGCGCTGATGATTGCGCCAGCATTTTTGTACAGCGGCTTCAATTGTTTCCATTAAATTTGGTTGAGTCATGAAATAGCCAAATGAGAAGAAACACACCCGAAAAAAGTCATCATGAACAAAATTTTATATTTTATGCGAGCGCTCTTCTATACATACATCTCCTGTTTATATATTTTCGAAAAATTGCGACTCTAAGCGCTCCATTTTTTTCCATTTGTCTATAATACTGAGCGCTCTTTGTGCTTCTTTTTTTTTACATATTTTTGGACAATTTGCGCGCCTCAATTTTTCTTCATATTTCTAGAAAATTTTTGCACTTTAACTTTTTCGCTAATTTATACAAATTTGAGCGCAATTTATTGGATCAATCTCTCTCCTTCTTTCGTTTTGTTCAAGTGTTTTTCAATGGAAGTGATTCGATTCGATTCGATTTATTTCATTTATTTAAACAATTGTTCGAGATATGCGATAAGACGCAAAAAAACCTAGATACTGATTGATGACGAGCGGACGATGACAATAAAAACTAATCCGAAATCCATTCGGTACTTTAAAATGAAATGACGCAATTCGCAATAATTTGGCGATAAACGGCAGCAGCAGTGTCAGCCATGTAGAAAGGTGCATGGAAATAGCAAATCAGCAGTCTCTTTTGATGCTTGCGCATGTTTTTCCGGTAATCATAACACACCATTAATCAACAATTCTATGGGTGAGATTGAGAGTGGAGTATGTTTTTTCTTCGGTTTATATTTTTGAAAAGGCGAGTATGTTTTCTGATGATTCTGTTGGCGTTAAAGTAGAGTATGTTGTAGTACCGTCTAGCCTCCGCGGTCTTCATGGTTTTCGCGCAACTGATAAAAGATAACAACATGGTGTCTTCGGCAAAGTTGTAGTACTCGAGGTCTTCTATAACTAAGCTGAAGACAGTTATCTCTTATCTTTTATCAGTTGCGCGCAAATCGTGCACATAAAAAAGCAAATTTTATATAGAACTTTTTTTTCTTATCATTTTTCGCGCTTTTCGCGGAACTAAGAGAAGAGATAAGAGATAACTGACTTCAGCTATGTTATAGAAGACCTCGAGTGCTACAACTTTGCCGAAGACATCAAGTCGTTATCTCTTATCAGTTCCGCGGAAACCGTGAAAAACCGCGAGGACCCGCTATAAACGAACATACTCGCTTTTAACCATTTTTAAGTCGACAGAAACTTGCTCTTCTCTTTCGTAACAAAGTCAATGAAACATACACTACTCTCAATCTCACCCATAGAATTTGCACATGTTCCTTTTTTTAAAATTGTCATCACATGATCAATTATCGGCCGTATGACGAAATGAAAGACCATGTTTTCCACGTGCACAAAGCACATTTAGCGAATTTTTTTTTATCTTTCCGAACATCATCACGAGAAAATTTGATTTTGGATCACAAGGAAATGTTTAATAATCTATTTTCATTTTTGTGGTTTTTGATTCAAACTTACCTTTAACACGACCATACACATCTTGACAGCAGCGCCTGTCCGAGTGCTCATGGCGCCCCGGTGCAAATTGTAACATGCGCCCCTGAAATGTTATGACTCAAAATTTTTGCGAAACGAAAAATTTTTCATCAGAAAAATTCTGTACACGATCTTCCATGCCTTTATACCATAATAAAAATATACGTTTGGAAGCATTGAAAAGAAAATATAATTCATTTACATAAAATTTACGAT